AATATTACTCAGCATTAACGGAGAATAAAATTATTGGCATTTGCAGGTAAATGGACGGAGTTGGAGAATATCATGCTAAGCAAAGTAAGCCAATCTCCAAAAACAAAAGGCCTAATGTTCTCTCTGATAGGTGGATGTTGATCCATAATGGGGGGTGGGGGGGATAGAGGGATTTTTTTATTTTTTATTTTTGCAGTGCTGGATATGGAACCCAGGGCCTCCTGCATGCTAAGCAAGCGCTCTACCACTGAGCTGTACCCTAGCTGCAGATTGGGAAACTTTCCTCTCCTACCCTGTCTCTGAGTTGGGGGTACACTTCAAACTGCAGGGACTCCCTGCTTGCTCCACTCCCCATTGCTCACCTAAGCCTGCTCCGTTGCTTGTAGACTTGTATTTCTAAGCCTTTACCTGTTTGTTCAAACTTCCCCTTGTGTTCTTCCTTTGCATTGTCTCTTGTACCTTTTCTGTGGGGCTGGGACGATAGCTGGGACCTGTGCTTCTTGCACATCCAGTCTGCTTAAATTTCTTCTTTGTGTGGCCATAGCAATTTTGACATCTGAGCCTCTTGCCATTTGAGCATGGATTCCCTGGTCTTCTAGTATCCCCCTGATATCTGTTTCTGGGGTCTGCTCACCAGCCTTGGCCTTCAGCACCTGCCTGGCCTTCTCTGCCTTGTATTAAATAGCTGCGCTCACAGGCTATTCCCATCTGGGCTCATCTCTCTCAACGTAACCTCCATTTCTCCTTGCCCATGGTCCAGCACACCACTATTTCTTATCGTGACTCTGGGCCCTCCTGCTTGTCCCTGTCCTGCTGTTGCCTGCTCCCAATATGACAAGTGTGATTATCAAAAGGCCTATTTTCCAGAGATTTTATGAGACAACCTGCAATTTCCTATCCTTCAATGAGAGAAAGGCTCTTGGTTCAGGAGCTGAACTGAAAAATACGCATCATTCAGGCGATGCACTTAATCCTCTCTGGTCTTCCTAGAATCTGACATCACTAAGAAGATAAGTAATACTGGAGGCGACATCAAAATAAAATTTAGGCTAACTGTGAAAAATGAATATTTTGCACTTAACCAGTCTTTTTGTATTTGTTCCTTATTGCTACCCTAAAGAATTCTGCAAGTTGAACCACTTAAATGTATTTCCTTAAAATTGTAGCAGTGAGAAAGGAAATATGAGCTTCAGTGGGTGACATCAAGCTGGGACATGGGACATGTATGGCCCAGAGGTTCTGGGGAGAATATACCCATTTACCTTTGCCAGCTGGTGGAGGCTGCTTGCATTCCTTGGCTTCTGCCTACTCCTCTGGCTTCTGGTCCAAAACTGCATCCCTCCCACCTCTCCTTAAGTCCCAGACCTCTTTCTCTGACTCTCCTGCCTTGTTCTTTGAGTCATGAGGATCCTTGTGATTACACTGGATCTGGGTGGATAATCCAAAACGGCCTCCCAATCTCAGGATCCTTAACTCAGTCACTTCTCCAACATCTCATTTGCCAGGTAAGTTAACATGCTCACAGGTTCCAGGAATGAGGATGTGGCTGACTTTCAAGGGCTATTATCCTGTCCGTCACATTTTTACTTATTTATTTATTGCTAGTTTCATGGATAATTTGGAGAGCTTCGCTAACACCAGAACGTGCCTTTATGTGCTAAGCGCTTTACATGTCTTCTCATATATTCTTCACAGTAACTGCACAAATTGGGCATCCTTATCAAATCCATGGTACATATGAGGAAACCAAAGCTTAGAGAAATGAAATTTCCTGCCTAAGGTTACACATACAGGGTGTTTATCTTCATTTATTTTGTATTAGCTGTCCTTGCCCTGTCTTTCCCTAGCTCTGTCCCTGTCCTCTTATGAGAGTTGACTGTAGCCTCCTGGGAACCCACATGTGACCACTGGTGGACCAGTCACATCCAGGGGAGGTCACTTTGGATTTGGAAACAATGGACAAAAAGGAGTCTTATGCTGGGTTTCAGTTTTTTGTACATTGTTTTTTTTTTCTTTCTAAAGTTTTGTATTTCTCTTTATCCTTAACAATCAGTGTCTTTGTGAACCTCAATGTTGTGGGTTTCCATATAGCTCATCAAGTTGCCATTTGGGTCTGAAGATTCAGTTCTCACATTAGTCCAGAAAGGTGACCTAATACATCTTGGCACCAGATTTGCATTTTGTTCATTTGACTCTCTTCCTTAGGAGCCTCCGCTCCTCTGTGGTAGCTAGTTGTCTGTTTTCTTAATGAATTTGTCCACCTCCAGTTCTTGCCATCTTTGCTTTCTTTGCTCATTGGGTTATTTTTTCAAGTCCGTCCTCCAGGTCTTGAGATTTTGAAATGCTGATTCTGCTCTGTACCTCCAGTGCCATGGGAAATTCTCCAAATGTCCCAGTTTCTTTCTGCCATTCTTCCCTGGCTCCTTCAGGTTTCTTTTTTTTTTTCCTTAGGACTTTTCCTTATCTTCTCCCTGCATACGCCATGTTTTGTGGAGCCCGTGTGGGGGTATCGCACTCAGTCTCTCCTTACTGATTTCCGGGATTTCTTGGCTGTTCACAGGCTGGATGTCTGAGCTGTGCTTCATGGGCTGATGGTTGGGTCAGGGGAAGTTTCACTTAATTAATCACCCTTGACGTGGCATTCCTATCTCCATACCCTCTTTTTTTTTTTTAATCTCAGCCAAAAACCTGGTAGCAAATAGGTGGACCCTGGTGTCACACCTTTTGCGCATATTGTCCCACATTTGGAAATCAGGGTGCGCAAGGAGATGGGGCAGATTAGAGCAGCACACACAGGGTTTGGAGGGCAGGCTCCAAAGCCAGATACCCTCCATCCACATCCCAGCTCTGCGGCTCTCCAGCTTGGCTGGGCCATTCTACACCTCTGAGCTTCAGCATCCTTAGATATGCGATGGCGCTCAGAAGTGTGCCCACCTTAGGCGTTTGCATGAGGAATAAATGCAAAAGCACCTAAAACCCTTTGCACATAATAGTGCTTCCTCAATATAATCTTTAAAAAGAAAGGAAACGTGTTCGTGGTGTTATAAATAAATCAGGATGGAAAATATCCCCCAAAGTGTCCCGACTCATTCATCTGTACCTCCCACAGTGGCCTGCAGTGCCTTGTCCAGAAATGGGTAACATAGGCTCCTTTGGGTGATCTCCTGGTCCTTCCTCATTGCACTCTTGTGAGAAGGGAAGTTGCCCATGGCGTCTGGTGGCTTCTCCTATTTGAATCCAAGTGGTACCATCTCTTGCAAACACAGATCAAGCGTGGGGAGGCTGGATGGCCATTTCAACCTAATGACCACTCCTTTTGCATTGTATTTCACCTGGTCATGTGAGGTAGTTTCTGGCGTGGGAGGGGGACATGGCTGCTTCTCCTACTGTCATGTCTTTTCAAACATACCATTTATTTGATTGTTTTTAAGTATACATTTTTTTAGGAGAATGTGAAAAAAAAAAAGAAAAAGAAGGGAAATGTTACTTGCAGTCTCCGTGCCTGGCCCTGAGCAGGTCTCTGTTAGCTGCCCTCCTGTGGGGGTCGGGGCTCCTTCATGTTTCCTGACTTTATGATCATTGCTCAGGTCGGCTTCACAGCCGAGCAGGTAGCTGCACCTGCTCCTGTGTCTCTGTCCTGACATGTCACTGGGGGGACAGGTTGAAAGATAATGTGGAGGAAAGTAGGTCATGCACATGGTGCGACTGTTGACGCCGTGTAGGAAGCGATGAAGATCACATCCTGGAAGACTCAGGGCATGGGAAGCATAAATCACCAGATTTCCCTGTGAATCCAGTTAGACAATTAAAATGCTTAGTTTCACTTGGAGGAAAAAAAAATTTAAATTAAGGCAGGCAGTGGGGAAAAGGTCTTAGAGAAAAGAATTCTTGACTTGAAGTTGGAAAGCCTGGATGAGGGACTTATTTGCTCTACATATTTATTTAACCTCTTTGACATTTGAATTCTTCTGAGAAGTGCAGCAATAATACACACCTCAAACAAGACTGTGAAGATTAAAAAGGAGGCTTGTAGAAAAATACCCAGCTCAGGGTCTGGCACGTACTAGGTATTTAATAAACCTTCCCTCAAATTGCTCTCACATGCGTGTGCCTTCCCTGTGACCATAACTTGTAACTGTGAGAGAGTTACAAGTTATTCTAGTCTAACTAGTCTAACTCAGAATATTGCATCTAGATCTCAGGATGCTAAAGATGAAAGTCCATATTTATTTACCTTGATTTTTGGAAGTATTTGCCAACTTGGTTCCCTTTGGGGGACTCAAATCTCCAGTGGGGGGCATTCACAGATAAAGATGCAGGAAAACTTTGCTATCCATGAAGACCTGGATGGCTTTCAGATGGTGAGTGACAGGGGAGCTTACTTAAGTTGGTGGGGAGCTGAACATGGGTTTTAAGGGAGTTGGGGCATTCCTAGGAAGACAGGGCTTTCCAGGCACAGGGAAGAGCATACAGCCAGGGGGGAGGTGTTGAGAAGGCCCTTCTCCATAGTGACAGCATGGTACAGGTGGTGCCCAGAGGTTCCAGGTAGGATAGCAGATCGCCAGCTGTGGGGCTGGGTCACTCCACATGGGCTGGGTTTTCATTAGCTGCCCAAACCTGTCTGTGGGGAACACAGTAGTTTCTGCTTAATGGATGAAGGGACATAGGAGGGACGAAAGCTAAAGGATTTTGGCCAATGCCACATGCAGGTTGAGCAAGGAGCAGAGGCTATCGGAAGGATTTCTTCTTCCTCCTCTTCTTCTTCTGTCTTCTTCACCCTCCTAATTTTCTTCCCAGCAGGGAACTCTCTTCTGAAATCAGCTCATTAGCCAAGTATATTCTTGGATCTGATCCCTAGCACAAACCAGGGTGGAGACCCGTTGACATTAGTGGGACATGCTGGACCCCAGGCATGGAGGAGAGGGAGCGTCCATGCTGGAGGTCACCAGGGAGCCCTGTGACGCTGATTTCTCCTGTCTTTCTTTTCCTCTGTCCTGCAGCAGTGGAATGGCAGAGACACGGCCCTCATGGTCACCCGTGTGGTCAACCACAGGCGCTTCTCAGCGACAGTCAGTGTGGCAGACACTGCCCAGCGCAGCGTCAGCAAGTACCGCTGTGTGATCCGCTCAGACGGAGGGTCTGGTGTGTCCAACTATGCGGAGCTGATCGTGAAAGGTGAGTGCCACCAGCTTGCACCTCTACCCTAAGTGGTGGGGACACTGGGCCTCTTCTGCCCTATAGCAGCCCTGTGCTGCTGAGGAGTTAAAGCCCTCCCACCATCTGCTACCTCCTTTTCTCTCAGTGGGTAGCAGAGACATTTGCTCCCCCTCCCTCCACTAACACCCCACAAAAATAATGGGCATTTGCTCCCCTTCCCTCCACTAACACCCCACAAAAATAATGGGCGCTATTGCCAAGTCACACAACAATGCATCATTATTCAAGGTTGACTGTCATCTTGAGGATACATTTGCAAAAGACCGTGGGATACGGAACACAGAGGACATCTCCAGATTTGGCTTTATTTTGTACTTAAGTCGTGATGAACAGATGTCCTTGCGCTTTGGTGATATTCTATTGCTGTGTTTTTGTAGGGTTGTTGCTGAGGGATTTTTTTTTAAATTGAAAATTCGACACAATGACAATATTTGGGGAGGACTTTTGAAATAAATAATCCCATACCCCACTGGCCTTGATTCGATTCTTTTCAATTGTCTTGTTCTTGCTCACCTTGAGATATATCATTTACATGCTTTCCATTAAAATACATGTGTTATTTCTTTTCTGCTTCTTTCTAGAAACTGGGCATCCTGCTTATTTTTGAAGCTGTGTGTAATCTGTGCTGTTATTGCTTAATGGGCATGTAATATTACACCAAATGCACTTTCCTCTTTTTAAAATCCCCCTATTTGCAGTCATTGAGGTAATCCTGGGTGTTTTTGTTTTTTCCTTTCCTTTGGGTGCACAACAATTAACACCTCAATGCAGTTCTTCTGGAGACAACATTTTGATTCCATTGAACTAGATTCTTTCCTTAGGATAAATCCCAGAGGTAGCATTGGAAGGCCAAAGAATATGAGCATCTTTATGGATTTTTCTTTGTGTTGTGATATTGCTTTTGCAAAACAACAACAACAACAAAAAAAACCAAACAGTTTGACAATTTACACCAGCAACAACAGCGTAGGAATGTACTTGTTTTACCAATATTATGCTCACCGATTAAAATTTCAATATAGCATAATTTAGAGAATGAAATAATGAAGCTGTTCTATTATGCCAGCTGCAGGAAGAGACCCGGTGTGTTTGAAGGGAAAAAGAACATCGATCCATCCCTGGAAGGCTCTGGAGTTGGTTTTCTTAGTTGAAGCATGTGTTGGCGTAAAAACCTTGACTTGTCTTTGCTAGTCCCCGTGTGACAAGTCACCTGGCTGTTGACAGGTCACCTGGCCGGCTCCAGAACGAGGATTGCATGCTGAGTTCTCTGTTCCGGGCCATCTTGACTCCAGATGGATATTCACCTGGCTGGTGGTGTGTCACCATTCAGGTCTCAGCATAAATGTCACATCCTCTTCTCCCAGAAAGCTTTTCTGACTCCTCCTAGAGGTCGGCCTCTGTCACCTCACCACGACTCCCTATTCCACTCTGCTATGGGAATTTCCCTTGATTATTTTATTGTCTCGCCTTTCAGGTTGTAACTGTGAGAGGAGGGGACATCATGGGTTTTGTTCTGGGTCCTCCCACTTAGCTCAGTGCCTGGCATAAATTCTGCATCTGTTGAACCCCATGAACTGGCCAATGGTTTCTCTCTTTTAGCCTGTACTGGCAGTCATCTCCGAAGGCTTGACTGTGAACATCTGTGGAATAATGGATGAGTGAGTGAATTATTGTCCTCAGCAGGCGTTCATTTCATCACCATAATGTCACAAACACTTTAGCCAAAGATCAACAAATTAAGCAATCATGAACGAAACAACTAGTACAAAAAAAAATCATCTTGAAATTCATTTATATCAAGTGCCATTAATATATAAAGAAGCCATCATTTTGATTGCATTAGGCTCATATCTTTGCTTTTTTTTTTTTTTTTTTTGCCATAAGATTGATTTGTGAGACAGAGTGGCCTTTGTGGACCATTCAAGTACTCAGTGACTATGTCATTTCCTGAGCTGTCCCCTGCATGGCTTATAATGCCTCTTTGATGACCACCCTCCCAGGCCAGACTGGGAGCCCCTTGAGAGAATACAGTGATATTCTCTCAGGTTTGCCACGGTCCATGAGCCCTTTTGCACATGCTGGTAGAAAGTTGGAGACAAGAGAGTAGGGCCAAGAGAACAGGAGCTAGTGTTGCACTTGGAAGTTTTCCCACAGGCAGACGGAACCAGAAAGTGCGAGCCTTATCCTTTCCTTACTCCCTCCATTCAGTGGTTGGGTGGGAGGAGTGGGAAGTCATGCCCAGAGGCTGCTGGGGCATGGGACATGGTACGGCATCACTGCCTCGGCTTGGAGAGGTGTCCACTCAGACAGTAATTCATCCTTTGTTGGCCTTGCAAGCTGAGCCACAGTTGAAGGGAGTGGTCAGTGCTGCCACTGGACCCAGGGGCACTGGCCAGGTCTGTCAGTATGATCCAGTGGTCATTGCTGCTCTGGACAATCCTTGTCCCTCCAGTTTAAGGGATGTGCTGGGTGGCACTTCACATTGGGCAGCGATGGTTTGGCGCTCTCTGTAAGCTGCTACCCAGATTTTATCATACCCAGATGAACTTCATCCTTTTTTTTGGCCTAGGATAGCACTGTTTGTAGTGCCTATTTTCCCTACATTTTGATATTCAGCTGGTGATGAGCCATGAGCTCGGTCCCTTAAATGTAGACAAGTCCCTTCACATATGTTATCTCATTTTATCTTAATTGCAGCGGTGCACGTTGGTTTTATTTCAACTCATTTTATGGATCAGAGAACCCGTACAGCCAGGTGGAGAAACAGAGGGTAGTCCTAAGGGGCAGAGCTGAAGTCCAGCTGGGTCTGGCTCATGCTATTTTGGTCATCCCTTGGAGGCCTGAGGATTGTGGCCTTGTTGGTACCTGGTGACACAATGTCATGAACAGTGTCCAAGGGGTGCAGATAACAGGCAGGGTTCATGCCAGGAGTCCCTGGGCCTCTGTAGCAAACTTGCCATTTTAATTCATCTACACCTGGCTAACCTCCAGGTTCCTGGAGAAATATAGTTAACCCTTCCCTGCGCGCACATGCGCACGCACACACACAGGTACGCACACACAGTGAGACAGCTCTAGTAGCCAAGCAAAGCAAGAAAAGGAGAAGTAGTGATATCCAGAAGCAGAATCACCAGAGGAATCCTGCCACCCTGGTGTGTGTGCCCAGCACCCTTTTGAAGGCAGCAGTGGAGAGCATGTAGGGGAGCCTGTCTTGGGAAGAATGGTTCATCTCCTTCTTAAGAGCCTTGGTCTTTGTGAGCCAGGAAGCCTCAGCACTTTAATATTTACCCTTGAAGTATTTACCCTTGTTAAAAAAAAATGAAAACAAGGGGGAAAAAACATTAATCTTTTTTAAGAAAGGAAGATAATCTGAAAAGCAACATACACAAAAAAAGGATTCTCCAGGGCCAAGCGCAGTCTTAGGGGATGGGCTATGGCCCGCATTTCCTCCTCCCGAGTGCTGATAGAATTCTGCATCTCACAGATGGTGTGGGCCGAGGGCCGGAGCCCCTGGCTGACTCTGGGTCATCACAGAAAGAAAATCATCCCTGTGTGGTTTTTCTCCACGCAGGTTTCTTCCATTTGGTTCCAATTCAGCGGAGAGAACTCTAGGAGATGCCTGGGTTTGAATCCTGGTCCCATCCTGTCCAGCTGTGTGACCTTGAACATGACATAAACCCCTCAGGGCCTCAACTGGCTCCTCTGGAAATGAGGATACAGGATTCCCTCCCGAAGACGGGGTCCTGAAGATTAAATGCAATCACAGGTGTAGGAGTTCACAAAACAGTGCTGGGTGGCCAGGCTCTGACGTCTTCGTCAAATAAATGGCCCACGCAGGTGGGATCTCCCAGCTAAGGAGGTAAAGAGGTGATGGATTCTGTGGGTGGGACAGGACATCTGGCCCAGGGGCTGTTTAGCACTTCTGAGGCCTTGGAGCAATCACTTAAGGCCTCTGCAAAGTGGGGCCTGTGCTCTCTTCCCATACAGTGATGCAGACTGCTCAGATCCTGAAAGTGTAAGGAAAGGGAGGGAGGAAATAGACAAATGTGGACTTGGGAACATCCGGGGCCTGGTGTCTTTGCAGGCAGAGTTCTCTGGGGTCCCTCCCGTGGCAGGTCCACTGACCTGTCAGGAGAGTTCATTAGATGGTCCTGCTTGTCTCCAGCCGTCTGGTCACATGGGCCAAGTCTTCCCCGGCATCATTCATTCAGAAGTCCAGCCATGCTGTGTTTGAGAGGTCACAGGGCCCCTCAGGGCCCAGGGATGCCAAGAACTGGAGGCCCCCGGGACAGCTGCCACAGCAGGTGTTCGTGCTCAGCTGAGCAGCAGCGGCCCAGGCTGGGTCTCTGTCTCTCGCCACGCAGGTGTGTTCATGTCTGGCTGGCTCGTGGCTCAGGTGCCATTCTGGGATGGCAAAGACGAGGATTCGGAAGCAAGGTGCTGCCTAACCCGAGTTGGGTAATATCAAATTCTCTGGGCGACAGACCGCATTGAAAGCAAATTGAAATTACTTAATTCTGAAGAGCTGTTTATTGAGTTGTGATAATGTACCTGGGTGTGTGTTAGATTACTCTGTAATTGAGGTTTCGCTCAGTTGACAACCCAGCCCCTCAACCTACCTGTTCCAGGCCAGTGCTCACAAGGGCACTTATTCTCTCCCCGTTTCTGGTTTGCTGAGTGTCTTCGATTTCAAAGTGTTTTAGCTCCACTCAAGGACGTGGATATCTTTAACCAAAGTCATTCAGCTGCATCCTGATGAAAATTTTCTGATTCACAAGAGTGGTGGTGGTGGTGATTTTTAAATGAATCCTCCAACTCCATTCAGCTACATGCCACGTGCTCAGCACTCTTGTGCTAGAGGTTAGTGCACAGGAAAACTGTGCCCATCTGCAGGTCTTCTGATTTGAATTCTGTCCTGGGACCCACTGAGGCACTTTGGTAGGGTCGGTTGTAGGCAT